CCCTCTCTCTCTCTCCCTCTCTCTCTCTCCCTCCCTCTCTCTCTCTCTCCCTCTTTCCCTCTCTCCCTCTCTCCCTCTCTCCCTCTCTCTCCCTGGGACTACAGGCTGCCATGCAGCTGTCCGGCACTATGATCCACGACCGTGCTATCAAGGTGTCCCCGGCGCGCAAGGCCATCAACCGCCCGCGACGCACGGCCCCCCTGACCGGAGGCCACCCCCACCCGCACCCGCACCACTTGCAGCACCTGCCGCACCCGCAGCACTCGCCGCACCTGCAGCACCCGCAGCGTCTACGGAGCCGCTCGCGCAGCCCCTCACGCGGGCGCCCCACCCGTGGGGATTACACTCGTCGGGGTCGCTCGCGCTCGCGCGATTCGCACTATCGGTCGTCCGGACGTCGGGACTCCGGTCGCCGAGAGATGGACCGTTACGAGCGCGACAGCCGTGACCCCCGGCGGTATGAGTCCTCGCGTGAGCTGGAGCGCGACCGTGAGCGCGACCGCCACTACGACCGCGATCGTGAGCGCGACCGCGACCCCCGCGACCGCCATCACGATCGGGACCGTGAGCGCCATCATGACCGGGATCGGGACCGTGAGCGCGAGCGCGACCGCGAGCGCGACCGCGACCGGGAGCGCGACCGCGAGCGTGATCGTGACCGCGAGCGCCGGACCGACCGCTACGACCGCGGCAGCGGCGGCGGCGGCAGCAGCAGCAGCAGCAGCAGCAGCAGCCGCCACGACCGCGACCGCGAGCGCGATCGCGACCGTGAGCGTGATCGCGACTCCGAGTCTTCGGGCAGCAGCAGCCGCAGCCACCGGGAGTCGCGGTCGTCGCGGTCGTCGCGGCGCGACCGGTCTCGCAGCCGGTCCAGCGACCGGGCTGAGCGTGCGGCTGCCGAGGACGCCGGCCACATGGACGATGTGGGAGCCAGCAAGCAGCAGCAGCATGCCGGCATCAAGCGCGAGGGCGCGGATGTGGCCTTCCCGGCTGCCTAAAGAAAATCGGCCTCGCATGTCGCCGACGCTGTGCCCTGACACACCTGCTTTCTCCTTTCCCCCTCTTTGTCCGCTCGCCCTTTCTCCCCGTGTCCCCCCTTTTCTGGAGAACGGGGGCCAGCCTCCTTTCCCCCATCCTCTGCCCCCGCTTGGTAGTGTAGTTGCTTTCCTTTCCTCCCCCCTCCCCCGTGCACACGAGGCCCCTTCCCATGTCCTTGCTCCGGCCGCATGGACGCACGCTCGACCGTTGTGCGTGCATGTGCGCAGGGCAGGACGGCGGTTCGGTCATCTGGCATTAAAATACACATTGGAAATCCACCAGCACACGGCATCGGAGAAAGGGGCCCAGGGCTGTGGTCCAAAAAGGAGGGCGCAGCATGACGGGCGCGTTCTCCCTGCAGGGGGAGGTGAGCCTCTCACTTGGGCCTGTGTGTGTGTG